TTTTTACATCAGGTTTTTTTAGTTTATTTATCCAAGGAAATAACTCTCACATAATAAGACTACTGTAAATAAACTTATATGGAATAAAATAAGCTAGCGACGTGTGCAGTGGGGTGGCTGGTTTGGCTTCATCCCCTACCTTTTCGCAGTCATAAAACAATTGTTCACAATTACTAAAAAACACGCCTGATTCCATACCTTGTTTCCTACGGATTATTGGGGGGGAGAATTCAACTTTAAAATGAATGACACACAGGGACTTGTAGGTCTTTACAGGAAAAAGAAAATAAACTGATATGCTATTAAGTGTTAATAGGCAAGAATTCAGAGTTTAGTTTTAGATTTTAAAAGTGTCTATAAGACCGTTTGAACAGAAATAAAAAAGGATTGTTTGCTTCTCATGGCTTTTAACTCTATGTGTACAATCTTCATAGTCTTCTCTGACACCTCCTCCCCACCAAAAACAAAAAAAGTCTTGCATTTTGATGTTTGAAAAGTGTTCTTTTTTGTCAGTGAGCCGCTACCCTGTTAATGTTTTATGTGCATTAATGAAGTAAGTTTACAAATATTTCGTTCTATTTACCTGTTCTCTGTACGTTACTGAAGTAAGCCTACAAATAGTTCATTCTATTTACCTGTTCTCTGTACGTTACTGAAGTAAGCCTACAAATAGTTCATTCTATTTACCTGTTTACTGTACTTTACTGAAGTAAGCTTACAAATAGTTCATTCTATTTACCTGTTTACTGTACTTTACTGAAGTAAGCTTACAAATAGTTCATTCTATTTACCTGTTTAACGTAGTTAACAGATCTGTAGTTGACAGATGAAGGGCAAAATAACTTAGTTGATTTTCGAACTGTAGTTGATAGATAAAGGGAAAAATAGCCTTACTTGATTTTCGAACTGTAGTTGACAGATAAAGGGCAAAATAACATACTTGATTTTCGAACTGTAGTTTACAGATAAAGGGCAAAATAACTTACTTGATTTTCGAACTGTAGTTGACAGATAAAGGGAAAAATAAGCTAACTTAATTTTCGAACTGTAGTTGACAGATAAAGGGCAAAATAGCCTTACTTGATTTTCGAACTGTAGTTGACAGATAAAGGGCAAAATAGCTTACTTGATTTTCGAACTGTAGTTGACAGATAAAGGGCAAAATAGCCTTACTTGATTTTCGAACTGTAGTTGACAGATAAAGGGAACCGTTTCGATGAACCTACGTGTCAATCAGTGGAGAAGTGATTGTAGTTTTTTAGAAATTTTCTATATTAAGTTTAAGGGATAAATAGTTGAATTGAATTCTAAACTATTTTCACTTTAAAATATTTGTTAGTATAGAACTAGAGTCTTTTACAGATTGAAAATAGATTTATTTCGGTTTCAATTATATAACAGTTTTAAATTTAATCACTTTCAACTGTGAATAAAATAACATCGTATAGAATTTAGGGCAGAATAACGTTCATTTTGTAGCTTTTCTCCACATACAAGTCCGAACTGAATTTTCAGTTTAAAAAAGAAAGTCAAAAACTGGCAAACATATTTTAACAAACTGAAGTTTTAAATATTTTGGGTGGAGCAATTATAAACTATTTATTTACGTGTTTTTGTTTACTAGACGACATAAAAGTGCTAATTGAACTAAATGAATCCATATGACGTCTTTATCCTGTTTAGACATATTTTCGCACTTCAATAACATTGACAAGTAATATAACAGAGAATAGTCTGAATGCATGTAAATAATATTATTGTTACTCAAAACAACAAAAGTGAAAAACATTTGGTTAATACTTAGATAGATATAACATTTATATGGTTTCCTGGGAAGGTGAACCAACATAGATCCAAAAAATATATTCGAAGCCCAATCTATCACTCGATTCACTACTGGTCAGTAAGTATACCAGTTTCTGAGAATTCTACCTCTCATCATGTTATATAGTGTGTAAAAGACAACTAAAACACAGAACATACTTCACCATTACAAGAAGCCTAGTCTTGTTTTTTCGATTTGCCATTGTCTAGGATTACTGATGATGAATGAATCTCCTCAAAACTCTCTGTGGTTAGGGGCTGAAAACACCACCAACTGTCGTCATAGAAGGTTTTTGTAGGTTGCCCATTACTCATAATTAAGACTTATTTTATAATTAATTGTAATGTTATTGTACATTTTTAGCAAATCTTCTCGTAGAAGCCATTGAAAAGTGACGAACTGGTTGATAGACTGGACTTCTTATTTATTTTTAGTACGTAAACAATTTATCTGCTGAAAATTCGGAGGAAGTATAAATGAGTAGGATTTACAGTGGGGATACACAACTGACAAAACAATAACAACGCATTCTAAATTATACAAGTAAAAACAATGTTTAATTAGCTATACTTTGTTTTAATTTAGATGTTTGCTAGAGAGAGCTCGTCATTTTGATGACGTCAAAATTCTAGTAATTTCGGCAGTATCTTGAGACAAGAATATGTTGTTTATATATGAAAGTAACCAGTAATTAAGTGATAGGTAATGAATGAGAAACTAATTGAGAAGTTAAAATGTACTTAGTGAGTGATTCATACAAATTTTAGTATTAAGAGTTATCGTATCTATTCAGTAACTCGATCAATTAATCATGGAATTTTGTAAGTAAATTTATTTGTGAGTTAGGCATATAATTAGCAAGAAATTTTCAGTTGAAATGTAATATTTGAACTTAGGCCTATAACTTGTGTCAAAGTGAACGTAGCCTGTAGAAACGTTGTAGATCTTGAAGAGAGAAAGTAATTCGTTATCGTTACGTGGACTGAACTTGGTATTATTTTGACCAAATAATCCAAAACAACCAATTCAAAGATAGATCACTTTATAACAATAGTTTCACTCTCATGAGTGAAAGACAAGTAAAAACACCATAGAAAATTAAATACGTTTTTCCTTATAATGTACGCCATCTAGTAGCAACATTTTATTACGTCAAATTTGAGTGTTTATGTATGTGTACTTAGTCTTTAGTTCATGTAATAGTTACTGTTAAATAAAAAGCTGTTTGCGCTGATTTAACTTTTAGTACAGTAGTGTAATTTAATCTTCTAACAATTATACTCGCCTATTTTGGAAGTTATTAAAACGATTTCTACAAAATGGCAGACCTTCGAGGTTCTTACAGTCCCTTACCTGCTTCAGAGGTTCCGCGCTTCAGCCTCAGGTTCAAACGGAGATGGTGTAGAAGGTATGGTTTCTGCGTCACTAGAGACGTGAATCAGCATAAATAAAGTATTAATACTGAGACTAAATTGTGAAATTTGCCACTTTTCACCATTAATTTTAAATATTTTAATTTTTTCTAACCACCAGAGTGTATTATTTTCTTATTACAATGACATTATACGTGTGTTTTCACTTGTATTTTACTCGCACACTAGATCTAGATTTATCTATAATTATATAGGAATTTCAAGAACATGCAGCATTAATACTACTAATGTATTCTTGGGAATTATTCCTGTATCGATACAGGATAACTGTGTGAGTAAAAGACATCTCAAAACACCATACATACAATATTATGAAATATACGCTCAACCACACTGTATTATGTATACAACGCCTAGTTTTATTCTTTCGATTTGCACGTATCCAGTGTTACTGATGAGGGCTGGAATTTATTTTGGAGGGAGGGGGAGGTTACTTATTAAAATAAGTTAAAGAATTATACACTTACTTTCCCCATACACATGGAATGTTTATATTCACAGGAGTATCATGTTTTCTTAAAACAATAAACTCAAAAAGTCGATTCTTACCTCCAACAAAATTTGTTTTTTGTTAACATACCAATTCAAGTCTATACTTCTTTTCTAACCTAAACCTTTAGTACTTTGATAAAACTTCTACAATTCATAAACATATTGGTTTTCAAAGCACATAAAGACCTCAATCTTTCGAGTGTTGTTAAAAGGAAGAAAAGAAAAAGAGGTGACAATTAAATATTTTATTTTTTATCTGATAATTCATGTGCTTAAATCTACTTTTGCATCTTAACTTTTGTGAGATCAGAAATCTTTACTGTTTCTCCATTGTGTACATCAATATTCTTTATGTTATAAAAACTTCTAAGTAAATGCTCTTCTGAAAGAAATTCAAGAGGGGTTGACATTCTCAATATTTACATTTCTGTGAATAAATTTCAGCACTTGAATCGCCATTGTACAGAAACCTTTAGTCTCAGAAATAATCTTGTCTAAAATTACTTTCTTCCTCAGCATCATCAAGAAAATCTACATCCACGTCACAAGCTCCTTCCCTCATTTTTATGTTCAAAGTTTGTGACTTCAACCTTAAAATGTATTATTCAAAATAAGCAACCATTCAATCTAGATATTAAAATCATCTTGTAATAAGAATAAATCTTCTGACTAAAGGAATAAGAATAATCTTTTTTAAGAGTAGCAGTTTGTCTTATGTATCATAAGACCTTCAGAAGTGGAAAAGTCGTAGTTTGAGTCAGAGTGAGATAAGGATGTTTAGTAAATATTGACATTTCTCTGTGAGCAATGAAAATTCACATACTTACCGAGTTGTAGTTAACTTTTAAAAGTGCCTAACTAGGGACCTGAATAACACAGATAATAGCAATCTATTTAAAATAAAAAGCTCTTGAAACTGAAAGATTTTAGGGAAAATTTTGGAAGGTTTTAAAACAAAGCTCAAAGCAGTTCAACATACACACACAAACAGACGAACAGACGCTTGCGTCCCAAAAGGGTAAGATATCTGCAGCAAAAATGTGCTTTTCATTCATTTTATGTAATCTGTTTCTATAAAATATCTATCGTGTAGATCGTCAGCTACACACAATCAGCTCCATGTGCTGCTGAATCCAACGTTAATTAACTTGTTACTTACATTATGTCAAGCAAACTTATAAACCTGGGAGTGAAGAAAGATTGAGTTAAAAACTTTAGTTGAACAAACAGCCTATGCACTTTGTGGTAAGTCTGAGCTGGTAAGGTTTGCTCTGGAGATCATATTTTGAGATGCACGTGTAATACTATAAATGTGTTGGATTTTGGTGAACAGCATATTGTGTAAGAAAGAAAACTTATGTTTAATTAGCTGTATTAGATATAGATAAACAAAATAAGTGTACAGAGATGATGGTGAATCATCATTCTTAGGGATAGATTAGATGAATAAGAATTAGAAAAGCAGAATAAGTCATTAGGTAAGTAATACAATTTAACAAAGAGGAACAAAAAATAAATATTTTCAATTGATTTAGGATTTCCATCTCTGTTAGATGTAGGAACATTTAAAGTGTGAATTTTTCAACATGATTGGCTAATTTGATCTTTATAAACTTGAGTTTTTGGACTGTTCACCTTCTTGGGTGATCCTAAATTTTCTGGTATAATGTTTATATATATATATAAAACCAGTTAACATTTAATAAACAGTATTGACATAACTGTGATATACAGGCAGTTGATAGGTCTGCTATTTATTGCAGTATTTATGGTATAATTGTTTCTAAACATTACAGAAGGTGGATATGGTAATGCATCTTTTCATCCACTCAATACACTAGTGTTTGTTTTATGATGCCTTAATTTAATTGGACAGTTTGTAAATTCAGGGAACTACTTTTTCTGATATTAAAACAATTAAGCCTTTATATTTATTTTTAATGAAATCAAATCACTTTGTTGGCAAACTAAAATAATTAACTTTTATGTCAGAAGTTTTGTGATTTTCTGAACCTATCATCAGTATTCTTCCTTCACCATTGTATGAACACAGTAATTTATGAAAACTAACAGAAAATAATTGAATCTTGCCATGTGAAAACGTGTAACCGAGAATGAGATAATTTCTTAATCTCATTGTCTTAGATCGTTCAGTGATTGAACGAACCTCAATCAACGCAAGTCATAAGTAGTATCTGACGATTTATTGATGTTTATACTAAGTGTGAAGTGTCGCAGATATGAAGATGACCATTCTGTAAATGCAAATCAAAGTCCAGACAAAATGAGCCTAAGCGAAAGTAGCCTTGTTTTGGGAGTATTCATCAACATCAAAACAACATTTTTGGAGATTCATTTGGTTTTTAAAAGGAAGAGATCGAAACCTCAACTTGTGTCATGTTTTGTGTGGGAAATTGGGCTAGCGGAGTTTCTCTTGTTCAAAGTTACCATCAAAACGTGGTGTTACGACAGCGGAAGTCACGTGACTCTAGTAACGCGTCATGATATTCTAGAAGTCTCCAGCCATTATTAGTCTCAAAATGGGTTCCTCGTCATCGAATTTGAATTCATCACGGATCATGTCTGCTCGTGGCAACTCTGGTCCTTTCTACGCGCCCTCTATTCTTGTATATAGATAAAGCGAATTAATTAATCCGTCTATTTTTTAGTTTACTTTGCTCTTCACTTTTTATTGTCTACACTTACTCTCTCGTTTACCTTTTTAAAGTTACATACCTCGTCTGCATTAATTTCCTAATTTCTCAAGTTAAGCCCATATTCCTAGACCACGAGCGGGGTGAAGGAGGATTGTTTAATCTTCGAGCACCCCAGATGAATAATTATTTCTTCGGAAATAATTATTTTTAAATCTAAATAACTGTCAGGGAAAAACGAAAAAAAAAAACGAATTAATTAATCGGAATAGAATTGCAGACAGACAGAGACATTGAGTCAAGCGCGGTAGTGACCTTAAGTAAAATGCGTGAATCGTTGTGAATTATGGCGTGTGGTAAAGTTAAAGTGACTGTGGAAATTAAGTGTATTGCAAAGTTGAGTTGAGAAAGAATAAACTAGTTTTATTTAAGAAAGGACTTGTATCGCTGAAGTTTCTCGGAAAGAATTTCTACGGAAAATTAACAAACGACCAGAGACGTAACAGTGGTAACTTCAGCACGATTGATTTACGATCATAGGATTAAAAGTTAAATTTACAACAAAAAGTTTGAAACCCGACTATTTTCTTTGTTATCTATAAAAGTAATATTTTATAATAAGACTCAAAGTATTTTCGAACAACGCACTGAACATCTGACAAAGACTAAATATTATGGTTGTTAGCTATGTTTAACTTAAACTTCCGTTTTTTGGGGGCTAGAGGGAGCTTGAAATCGTGAGACAAGATGAAATATTGATCGACGATTGAGTTAGTGAGTCGGTGTGTGTTCAGTTTTGTAAATCTCAACCGCATTTACTGCCGACGAAGCCTTTCGCTTAATACCAGAAACGGAGATTACGAGAAAATTAGCAAGTGACTGTTATAAAATGAAATTTTTAGAACTTTTAGTTGAATAAATATAACGCTTTTGTTATCATGAAGTGGAAAAGAACTCGTCCAACAATAGAAACCGTTACAATTTTGTTATTCATCATCCTGGAAATAACTGAAAGTTTTGGAAGACATTAATTTATTAATATGTATAACATTAACAAAAAGGTATCCCCCTTTTTTTTCTATTTTATTGGGGGAATTGTCGTTGCTCTTTATTTTCTCCACTTTCAAACACTTGAAGTTCAGCGAATAATTCATTGGACGTTTCCGTGTAGGCTTAACTTTTAAGGCTAAGGTTTACACGGGAACGATACGAACGTAAAAAGCCGCACGAGATATATGTTTTTATATTGTAACATCATTGGTTGCGAAGATAACTTTTTTTCCCTGTTACTTTTATAGTTAAACTGTTCTTACAGTGTCAGGTTTATTTTTAGGTACACAGTAAAAAACGTATTAATGTATCTTTACTTATATGAAATTGGTGAACTCGAAAAGAGAAGTTTGAAGGAGAATATCCTTTCTTCTATACGTTTCTTCGTACTGTTACAAAATTCCAAACCCTGTTCCCAAACTTTTCCAACTCACCTGAGCAGCTAGGCGATTGTCTTGGTTCCATGCTATACATGCTCCATGTTACTATTTTATATATTTCAGTGAGGTCTGTTAAATGGTTCTATTTTGCTTGTTCGAAATATTTTTGGGTTATTACTTTATAAATAATTTTATAATAAAATTTATATGCTTTACCGTGTCTTGTTTTGCGAACCGCCGCTGGTCAAGAGGTCTGTCCACGAGAGTCACAAGTGTTCTCTGCTTGGTATGGTCGGATAATATCAAACTATAAAGCAAGATCGACACAGAATTAACTGGAAACGCAGTAGCTGATACTGTCATAACTGTATCATATTCGAGACATAGTTTAGAAATCTGGCATTTCATAAACAGCTAAGACCTTCGTCTGTACTATTCGGGGTCTTTAATTAAGAAGACAACTATATAACTTATTTAGTTTGGATAGTCTTTAAGTAACAGTCATTGTATAAGTGACTTACAATATTACAAATACCAATTAACAATAACGTCCTTCTCTGCATTTATTTTAGAAACTACCTCAGGCCTAATGATCCAGATAAACAGTTGTGAGTGATAATAATCGAATGTGAATAACAACTATAGTAGTAAATTGATAAACAACGCTTTATAATCAAAATTATTTTATGTAGGGAACATAGTTCCTGAAGAAGACAGACCAGTGTTCTGTTGAAACATGTAGTATTTTCTCTACATAATTTTTTGTGCTTGTAAATCGTTGTTTGTCAACGTACTATGATATTAGGATAACGTGCTTCCATAGATAAGTAAATATACCATACTTACCACCTTATAACTCACTGTATTTCCTACGTAACCGACGTTGTGAATTTCGTCTAACAAATTCTAAAATTGCTGAAGATGGACGTTGCATATCTTAATTTGTGGTCATTGGTTGATTACTTTTACGACAACAATGACATTCAAGATTTAATTACAAAGTACCACCCTGAACAACGTTGGTAATTTCTTATTTATACACGTCGACATTCTAAAAGATCTTGTGTTTATGGTTTAAATTGTTATCAGGAACGGAGATAATGAAATGGAGGTGAGCTTTGTACTTGATTGTGCTTTCAGGAAAGACGCCCCCTTCCGAGTTTTATGATTTCCAAAACGCTCATACAGGCATTGCACCCGTGAGACTGCGCGTGTTTTAACTTGTCTTTCCTCGTGTTTTCATCAGCTATTAAAATAAATTAGTTACCAATCATTGAACATGAGTGAAAAAGCGAAATTGTTGAATCATCAGGACAGTGATGAACAAAAATATGGCAGTATTAAACACGAGAAAGTAGAAGGACATTTCCCTAGGTAAGAAGTTTCTAAAGTCTTCTTTATTACAATTTCATTTGTGAAGTATAAAGTGTTTATAATAGGAAGGTAAGAATTTAAACCTTCGATTTTACCAAAAGAAACCCGTAATTCTACAGGTTTTTTAGTTGTTTTTTTACATCATTGGTGATTACATGAAACGAGGACTAGCCACTACATTATTATTGCTAATATTATTATTAGTATATAGCAAATTAACAATAAGTGAATAATGTCACACCCTATAGAATAAGTTATCTAGATGTTTTACTAAAGTATTACCTGACGAAAAAAAATGTTTAAGTTCAAGAGTAATATTTCTTGAAATATTTGTTTCGTAAAACTAAACAGTCGTGTGTCACTAACATTAACAACTTTTGTCGTACGAAATTGTATAAGCCTTGTTAAATACTGTTCAACTGGACATTGTGTTAAACGTTATAATTTTCGTAGCGATTAACTTGCCATTATTACACAGTTAAAGGTTAAAGTTCAACTACCTAAACTGGAAGAAAAAGTTCAGCAGCTGTTTGCTGATTGGTTAACCTAAACAGTACTCGATTAACTACGAGACAGCTGCCTCAGGGCCTCCACAAATATTTTAACATCATTTATGAATATTGCGATATTCCATTTATATATTTATTTCTTATATTTGAAAGTTTGTTTTTAACACATCAAAGTTTTTTTTCTTATTTCTTATATTTGAAAGTTTGTTTTTAATACATCAAAGTTTTTTTCTTATTTCTTATATTTGAAAGGGCCTCGATAAGGATAATATTTGCCTCAGGGCCTCCACAAACCTTAATCCGGCCCTGAATTTAGGCTTCATTTGAAGTATCTCCTTCACCCGTAGCATAGTCAAGTTTTGAGTTAATGTTAATTTTACTTCTTTCATTTGCAAGAGATGGCGCGCATGTATTTTTGAATGTTAAAAAAAAAGGTCATTGTTCTGTGAAGTCCGTTATTTCCATATTACAGATTAGTTAGATAAACTTTAGTAACGTTAAACAATGAGTCTAAATTGTATATGAGAACTTGTGTTAATATTTAACAGTAAACATTCGTATTAGAAAATGTAGTTATGTAAGAGAAAGTATAATTCATTGAATTACAAACAGGATTGTGTGACGTCGATTTTTTAAAAATATTTTACATCATTTGAGTTTGTGTTAATCAGTTCAACTGATAAGATAGGCCTAATAGACTGAAACTCGGGTTCCAGAGATGTGATATGCAAAGAATATATCGAACAGGGACAGCAAAGGAAAGAAACAAAGTTTCTCTAAAAACATTATATCAATCTTCACGCTTACTTGCTGGTTTACTATTTTTACTTTAACTATAGATAGACCTGTCATTGCTTGATGGTTAAGGCACTCGCAATCTGAGGGTCGCTGGTTCGAACCCCCGTCACCGAACATGCTCGCCCTTTTAGCTGTTAGGGAGTTATAATGTAACGATCAATCCCACTCCGTTGGTAAAGAGAGTAGCCCAGGAGTTGGCGGTGGGGGTGGTGACTAGTTGCCTTTTCTGTAGTCAGTCACTGCTAAATTAAAAACGGCTAGCACAGATACTCCTTGTGTAGCTTTGCGAGGAATTCAAACGAAACCCATAAATGGGATAAGAAATGTTATGCACGTGACCACACAGGACAAAAACAATTCTGATTTACCTTTCAAAACTCGGACAAATCGTTAAATGTGAAGTATACCGGAACCACACTCTGCATACGTCACTTTACTATTCCAAATAACAACTCATACCAATTTGTACAAGTATCTGACCACCCCTTGAAATGGGCTCGCTCCTTCTCGAGGGGAGGGGAGTTTAAACACGGGGCAATAGCGATACCAGTTTCTTACCAGAGTGAAGTGATTAGCAAATGTTTACAACCTTTTAACGTTGGATTAGAAAGAGTGTAATACGTGTAGAACGTGCACTAAAATTGAGGTGAATCCTAAACACGTTTACAGAAGAGTGAAATTCATGATTATTTAAGTCACTACAAGTGATCATTTAGCCCATGTAATATTGCATGGTAATATCGAATTTGAATTTAAGTTCACGTGATAGCAATATTATTACTTTCACAAAATAATGTTATTTCACTCGGTGTTATTTACCAATTAAAAAGTTGTAAAGAAACGAGGCTTGGAATTTGTGTTTGGATACAGTCGAGTAAAAAATGTTTGTATGTATCAGTAGAGAAAACGTTATTAAAATTTTATTGTTTTCATTATGAAAGAAAACTATCAAATTATTTTACTGTGATACCGTTTGTTTAAAAAAATACTAGATTATATAATTTTTGCCTTGTTTAGTGATTGTTATCAACTATTTTAAAATAGTAAAACGTTAAATATAAAGTTTTAGACGTTTTACAAGTTCTTTTTTTTTATTGTTACTGTTATTCAGTGAAATGATGCGTGTGAAAAATTTCGTGATAGCTTGTTTAGGTTTCAAGTATTGACGATGTTTTTTTTTTCAAAATTTTTATCGTTTTGTTATCATTTTAAAGCTTCATTCAGCGTTGTGAATCGGTCAGTTTAATATCTAGTACGTTTTTAGACACGTTGGATGTTAAAGAGGCTATAGGCAGGGAAAGCACTTTGAATCTGGAAGAACACAACCCTCGAGAGGCACTTTTCGCATTTTTACTGATTTATCAAAAAGAAAGCCAACAACTCGAGCCAGTAAGAATTCTGACAGCTACGATCCACCTTAAAGTTTTAGGCTATACACGTTGTTTCACCAAACTTATAATATTTTTAATGTTATAGTTCTTATTTTTTAACAAGGGGTAGTTACTAATTTGTAAAAAATGGGGGGGGGGCAGGAAGTCTGATCTGTCATATCAATTCTATCAATCATTGAACAATCTAGGACAACAAAAGATGAACAAAGCATCTTATTCGATT